TAGTGGTCTAGACCTGGTTTAGTCCTGGTTCAGTCCTGGTTTAGACCTGGTTTAGTCTTGTTTTAGTCCTGTTTTAGTCCTGGGATCAGTCCTGGTTCAGTCCATATGCGGCGCAAAGTCCGGCATCACAGTTTAAGTCACGGAAACGGGAAACTGCCATTATTAGTTTTTTTTCCATTATGCATTTAAATACTAAATTGAAAACTAAAAACTAATTGTTATCTGTTTTTTCATTTTGATTTTGGAGACAAATAATGAAGAAAATTGTTGTTTTTTTCATTTTCTTACTTTTGTTTTTATTTTGAAAAACAAATGAATTTCAAGGCAGATTCAAGGTGGAACAAAGTGGAGTGTTTTCTGTTTGAGAAAAGAACTCTGCGACAACACACAGACGTCTCATTTCTAAGACAGGGGCTTCTTTTACAATATCTCTGTACTGTCTCTAATAAATACAGAAATAGTCATATGTAATAACAGTAGAAGGACAACGTGCAGTACTTGTCTGTGCATGTTTATTTTATGTACAGATTATTTCATATTTACAGCTAAAAACAAAAATGTGAAGGAGAATTTGCAGCGTGTACTTCAACTCGCCACTGTCAGCCCTCGCAATATTTACTGATTGTTCATTGAAGTGCCCTGGCTACAAAACAAACTAAATTACTTTCCTTGCTTTATCATCCTCTCTTCACTGCATTAGTCCCCATTTTTCTGCCTTGAGTGGAAATATTTCTGGTTATTAAACATGGCCGATTTGAAGTATGTTGCCAGGCTTAATCTTCGCTACATTATCTATCATTATTTTTTTATTTATTATTTATTTATTTTTGTCCTTTCAGTATGACTAGCTCTATCACAACAAATGGGTGGATAGAAGAAGAGATATATACTGTAGATAGATGCATGAAAAAAAAAAGAATAAAATATATACTGATGCTTAGCTGCAAACTGTCGGGATGCTGAATGCCGAGTCAGCTCATTTCTGTTTAATTACCGTTCACCTGGGCCAAAAGGACTAATGGAAGGACTGGCGACGCTCCCAGACAAACAAACGCCGCACTTGGCGTGAGAAGGCAGAAAATCTTGAGTAGGCTCATATGCATTGCCCCTTGGAAAACTGCAGAAACGATCGGCAAAGGTCTTTGGTCCTTTAGTCGATGGTGTCTTAGTCAACCAAACTTTTTATTTGTCGATAAAGCATTTAATTTAGATTATAAGGATGTATGGCTTTGTGCATTATGGAGAAATCCTCTATACAAATGGCTAAAAAAAAAAAATCAGACATCAAATTGCCTCATATAATGTCTAAAATTGTAAGCATTCAATAAAAAAAAAAAAAAAAGTCTTCTATTACAGATTTTTAACATCATATTGTGAGCTTTTAATCATCAGTAGTTCAGCAAATTTCCACCTTGTTTTTCCTGTATCCCTAGAGACCGATGCTGCAAGCTTTTTACACCAAATCTGGCAGCAAATGCGGCAGAAGACCTTCCAGAAGAAATACATTGAAGGAATGGACCATTTCGACACCAACCTTGACATATCTTTGACTATGGTTTCGACAGAACACTGTAAAGCACTGTCGGCGTCACTGTCGTCCATGCTGCTTTGTTGTTTTCCGGTATCTTTTTCGCAAAGCAAGCAACCTCAACCAATGAGATGATGAGCGGGATGTGAGTGTGCTGTCAGCTCATTGGTCTCAGAGCAGGAGAGGCTGAGAATATGTTTATTGTAAAATTTCTTAAAAAGCGCCATGTATTCATTCATTCCATTGACTACACACTATTTTTGATTCTCAAGGGTAATACGGGACAAAGTGCGTCCCTTTTCAATCAATTCAATATGGGACATGTACTTTTGTTTCTGAATGAGGGACGATTCTGTTTTTCAAGGGACCGTTGGCAGCCCTACCTTTGACTGAGGGAATTTGAATTTGCCCCTGGGTCAATAAAGTACCTCTCTCTCACCCTCTCTCCCTATTTACAAAATTAAAATTTATTAATTTGACGGCAAAAACCACTATCTCTCTTCCCACACATACTAGTAAGTGGGAACAAGACCTACAGATAACCGATGACAACCTCTGGACCAACATATGGATGAACATTTTCACTCTGTCATCAAACAAATATCCACAACTAATTTCATTCATTCGATACATTATACAGGCCAAAGGTTACACAAACTGTGACACACTGTACACACATGCAAAACACAATACTGTCTGACAACGCCAGCGCCCTCCCCACACTGTTGGACTGCCACATCTGTAGGAGCAGCTCTGTGCTTCATGCAGAGCTTCTCTAATTGAATTATCTGATAAAGTTGAATTAGAAATTGCATTGCAGACACCTGCTCAATAACATCATGAGTGAATGAACTGACTGTGTAAATCATCAGTGTAGTGATGTTATGTATTAGAAACATAAAAAATAACACGTTAAATGCATTCAGCTTTGATTACTGCAGCCTAGAGTCGGGTGTACATAAGGTCTCTGAATGATTAAGCCTAGTCGCTGTGTTGTTGTGCAGTATGCTAGCAGAAGTTTGCTGCTAATACCCCTACTGGTGCACTGCAATGTCAGATGTGCCAGCTACGCCTCATTACATTTCTTCAAATAGAGCTTTTGTCTATGTTTTCTTTTGACAATTCAGTAAGTGTCTTAATGGCAACTTTCAAACTTAAACTGCCAGATGTTATTTACTAGCTTGTGTTAGCAAAAACAAGAGTCAGCTGCAGTGCAGCAGCATTAACCCCAAGCTAAAAGCTGGACTACATATTTACATATGAAGATCTTATAAAGTGTGTGTAATATGGATACTATCTATGGATATTATGCATGCACTCTAGCTCTTCAAAGCTCATTTACATATTTAGAATCATTTTATAATAATAATTTCTGTTTTAGATTAGATCAGAGGATATTTCTTTAACTGTTTTTGGTGGACCTTTTAAATTTTTGCTTATTGAAAGTTAACAAATAGCAACTTGACATTTATGTTTGTTTGTTTTTTTGTTTTTGTTTTTTTCTCCTCGCAATATATTGACTCTTGTGAGCTTTAAGCCTCCTTGAGTAGAAATTTTGTTTTGTTTCATTCACACTCTTTATTAGTCTGTCTACATCTCCAATACTCAAAATACTCTGTTCCACCTTGTGAAGTCATGTAGGGGCAGTTTTCAGGTTAACAGATCCTTTTACTTTTGTTCTTTTCTTAAATATGTATGTTTTTCATGAGAACTGCCATTCTTTGTGTCTGTATTTGTGTTTGCAGTTTTATTATACCAACACACAGATGCATCACTGTTTAGCTGTGCATTGTGTTACATAGTTTTTTGGGCAAAGGGTGCAGTGTTTGAAGAATTTTAGTTTCAAAACTTTGTGCAATGTTTAGGAAAATGTGTGCTATTTATTTAAGAATAGTGTTATACCAATTTAGAAAAACTGTAGAGAGACAGACACGGTTTTACAGACACTGAGTCATCAACAGACAAAAGAATTCATCTGAGTGGGGCAGCAGTCAGCATCTGTCACAGTGGCCCCGCAGCTGACTCCGGCTGCGCGTGTAGGGTCAATAGATCTAAAGTGACCCAAATCTCAGAGGGCGGCCCGGGATCACCACGGCGACGCACAAGATGGAGGAGAGCGCGGAATGCGATTATTTTGGACCATTTCAAGCAGGGCGGCGGCCTCTGGCTCACTGGCCCTGTCCAAACCCACAGACAGGTCAGACAAGAGCAACTGCAGCACGGGCGTTTGAATACTGCTTTTATGTGTGTTCTTTAAATGTATTAAGGTAGGGAAGGGGAGGCATCCACCAAAACCAGTATGGAAGATCAGAAATTTTTGGTCAGAAAATGTACTTTAATATACATTTATCTGTATGCATCTTAAAACGCCCACAACAACATATACACGGATACACATTGTCTACATAGATCTTACTTAAAGGTGCACTGTGTAACTATTCTGACAGTTGTCTACTTGTCTCCATGGAGTTATTACTTTACCTAGAATATTCCAAAGTATGACATTAAACTTTTAAATCTCCATGGAAACAAACAGGAGATGCCACAAGGTCAATTTACAGGTGAGATCAGTGAAGAGGTGACCCCACTCAAAGTCAGAATGTGTGTTTTTAAAGTTATTTTTGACCAATAAAAACACTCATAATTTAATAACTGCATCTTATATAAGTTTAATACCATACTGTGGAACATTACTGGCAAACCAATATCTCCATAGTAGCCCAACCTCAAAAGTTACTCAGTGCACCTTTAAATACAACCAGCTGATTTTTGTCATTAAATTATACAGGTAAAATGTGTGAAACAAATATTAGAAGATATAAAGAATTTGTATTAAATGCAAATAGTAAATTACAGGTCCCATTGTCTATTTACTTTTTAAACATCACTTGTGTGTATATGTATTGCAGTGGAACTATTCAGTTCATTTGATGCAAAAACATTGATTGATAGAGCTCCTTTTGCCTTTGACTTGACTGCAATAAGGTTCAGTAATGTCTGAGGCTACGTTTATATGATGACATCTGAACAGAAGACACCAAAGTGGCATCACATCTTCACTTTTTATTACAGGTTTAGAGGAGCATTTTCGGGATGAAATCTGCGTGCATACGGTAATGCAAAAGTGTGTGGAATTCGATTGGGTATGCATGCCAGGCGGCCATAGCTCCATGTTTGTTTCTGTGTACTGTATGTACACTGAAAAAACGGTCCGAGAGGGGTTGCTCAAATTGCAAAAACAAATTTGACAACAATAACATCACTTTTTTACGTTTCTCTGTCAAGCATGTTTAAATCTTACAAACATCGCTTGATTGTGGCCGATGTGAGACCTGCATGTTTTAATCAGGTTGCAAGGAAACATGCCTTTATTATAATCTCTGGTGAGGCTCCTCCCTCTGGAATTCTCCTCCCCAAAACTTTTGGAGGGAAAATTCAAATGTAACAGGACACAGGACAGTTAGATGAGCAGAGGACACACAGTGTGGAGCAGGAGGATTATGAGAACTGATCTGGAGGTAAGACTTTTCAAAGATTTTATTATGTGCTTCTCCGGCCTAGAATGTCGTCATTGTTAAAACATGTTTGTGTTGTTTTATTTGAAATTAGAGTTAATGTAAGGACAGCTTGAAACTAAATTGTTTTTGACTGTCCATCTCCAAGAGTGTGACAGTTGTACTAAGATTTAATGTGTTGCTTCCAGAGTCGTCTACAAAGAGTGACGTCCAGAGCTCTGCTGGAGCTGTGGGGAAGTTCATGAATGTTATAGTTGATGTTTCAGAAAAAAGGAAGATGTTTGAGAATCAACAAAACACAGACCACAGATGAACAAAGTAAGTAAACCAACTAAAATTATTTAAAATTTTTTCAAAATGAACTTCCTATTGAAACAGTTATCGTGTTTCTACAGGGTGATGTGGCATTAGGAGACTTTATACCAGATGCCCTCCCTGTTACTGTGTTTAGAGGAAGAAAAGCAGCACATGGTGAGTTTTGTTTCTGCAGATACAGTTCTAATGTTCTTGTTCTTCTGTTCTGGTCCGTTATTGTAGTAATAAGTACTTTAAGTGTATTTAAACATGTACAACAGAGTAGATCATCAGAATGTGATCATCATGTGTTATTCCTGTGTCCACAGGCAGAGACCAGAGCTTCTTCACTGGAATAAATCTTCACACTGTCCAGCTCCAAACTGTGTATCTCTGTCCCTGTGCTCTCTGTGTGTTTGATTCTGTTTAAGACAATACAGAACTGTGGAAAACTAAAGACTGTTTTTGTATTCTTTTACAGAATTAGATCAATTAAATTAAATTATACATACTTATACATTTCATGATAAGGTACCATAAGATAAATATGCATATTCAGCATGATTTGTTCAAATTTCATCAACATAAAAAAGTGATGTTCATGTTCTGAGAAAAATATGTGTAGAGGGGATCGAAAAAAGTTTCAAAGCCTAAACATAATTTTATTGCGTGCAACCGCTGTCCATAACTTTTTTACGCAAATCCAGCAACTTTTTTTTTTCAGTGTATGTGATGTAAATGCGTACAAGATGTGAGCAGATCTGAGCAGAGTTTTGCTTCTTGGGCAGCGTAGACAGAAACGCTACCGCAGCGTATTCAACATTGCCACTCTGGAGGGTGGTTTCAGATTTTTGCATTTTAAGCCCTAAAAATGCCATCATAGTTTAAATGAAAAACACTTCTGATCAAATATTTTGTCGTTTTTAGGATTAGGGCACAATGGACTCTTTTAGCCATGTTATAATGTCCAAAAACATACCTGTTTGTTTCATTCACACATGTTTGAATAATCCTTTATCATTAGCCTGTCTGCATCTCCACAACTCAAAATGCTCTGTTCCACTTTCTGATATCATAAAGGGGTAGTTTTCAAGTTAGCAGCTATCTTTTACTTGTTGTTCAGTAGTGATTTCTGTTTAAGAGAAGTACTTTAAATATGCAGGATTTGTGTGTCAAACGTATGAATGAAACAAAACTCAACTCCAAGGGTGTTTGTGATGAGGAAACAACATTATAACATAGATCGGAAAATAGCGTAATATGGGCCCTTTAAGAGTCAATGTTGGTATTTTCAGAATAATACAATGAACTAGTTTTTATAATCTTTTTTAAAAACTTTTATAAACTGCCTCCGATTCAGTTCTGCTAAATTTCTTGAGCCTGTATCACACCGGCACAGCCTTATTGAGATTCACAACCTTGGTTTCCCAGTTTGGAGAAACACCAGGCAATTGTCCTTGAGTCTAGCACTTGGATATAATTTATACAAGTTCCTGCTATTAAGATATCTTCCCATTGGACATGTGAGATGGTATCTAACTGTAATAGATGTATTATTTATGAGCAGCCATGCTTCAGAGTGAGCAATAAACAAGTGAGTGAGTGCAGGAGACAAAAGCCAAAGGGAGATGGACTGCTGTGTGGGGAACCTCTCTACATGCGCTCCTCGTAGCACCCAAGTCTATAAAGGTCTGATTAATCACATAATAACCCCCCATAGAATTAGATCCACGGCATTATTACACTGTTAAAAGTCAGGAAAAGGTTTAATGCCACATTTGAGAAGAGGGCAACTCCACAAAAAAGATTTCAACAGATTCAAACAAGTGTAGTAGAAGGAATTAAATGTATTCGGTGGACCTCTTAAATTTTTGCGTATTGTAAGTTGGAAAATTGCCATTGACATTTCTGTTTTTTTTTTTTCTTTTTTTTGTAATGAAGCTTCAAAGGTCCTATATTATGCAAAACTGACTCTTGAGAACTTTAAGCCATGTTATAATCTCATCAAAACCATACCTGCCATTGTGTTTTATTTACATTCACATGTTTGTATAACTTTTTTATTATTAACTCTTTATTATTAGTGTGTCTAAGGCTACATTCAGACTGCATTGCTTAAAGCTCAATTTGGATTTTTCTTTTTTTTTTGTGTGAAATCAGATTTTTTTTGGAGAGGTCCTTCACATTTCCAATTAAATGCGATTTATATGTGATCTCCAGTGTGAACTTTAAACATCCCAAAAGTGTCCTGCATGTGCATTGGAGGACACAATGACATCACAAGCAGCAAGTGTGCTCAGTGTTTATGGAAGCAGCCTAAACATGGACACAGCATTGAGCACCTGGAGATTTTAAAGTTGCTGTCGTATCGGAGTCAGAACACGTGCAGCATATTTGTTTTAAGGAAGAGATTAAGAAGGAGAAGGATGAGGGTTTTTGGCCATGGTGTTTTGTGGGCAGTAGGAGCAACGTCCGTACAAAGGAACGTGTGGGTGTGGAGTCGCAGACAAGAGTGGAGGGTTGATATGTGCTGCGCTGCTTCACCGACATGGAGTTCAGACACAGTTTTCATATCATGAGAAGAATGTTTGTGTACATTTGTGATTTGTAGGTGGGATGAATGCTACCTGGCCGTTCAGACTGAAGTCGCATGTCAAAAGTATCGGTTTTAGGTGCACATATCCAAGTGGCCTGGGTCGCATTCGAAAAGAAATCAGATCTGTGTCGTTCCGTGTCATTAAAAGATCAAATTCGGGTCGCATAGGGGTGAAAAAATCGGATTTGGGTCACTTCAGGCTGCAGTTTGAGCATAGCCTAAATTTCCAAAGCTCAAAATGCTCTCTTCCACCTTGTAATGCCATGTGTAGAGGTAGTTTTTAGGTTAACCACGACTGTTTGCCTTTTGTTCAGTAGAGATTGGCAATTCCAGGTCTGAAATTAAGCAAATGATTCTAGTGAAGTTTAAAAACACAGTGGTGCACTTCCTGTATCACCACATGGCATCACAAGGTGGAACAGAGTGTTTCCAATTTGAAAGATGAACTCAGCCTTGTGTGTTAAATATATGTGAATGAATCAAACACAACTCCAGGTATGTTTCTGATGAGGAAACAACATTCTAACATAGATTACAAAACACCATAATATGGTCCCTTTAATACATATTGTTTTATTCATTTTGGACTTTTTTTTATTTTTATTAACATCAGTCATACACAGAGCCCCTTTTAACATGCAGTCTAATGTATTCTAAGATTTTTTTTTTTTCTATTTCATTCTTCCATGAATACATCTGGACACTCTTTCGACAAAGTTATGTGTTGTACACTACCGGTCAAAAGTTTTAGAACACCATACTTTTCCAGTTTTTTTTTACTGTTTACTGTTGACCGAAACATATTCTAAACTTTTGATTCATCAAAGTGTCCACCTTTGGCAGATATAACAGCTGAACACACTCGTGACTCGTTCATTTTTACAATGTAAATCAAATATTCTTCAGAAAGTTCTTCCCAAGTTCCTATAAATGTGTGGCACTTGTAGCTTGTTTGGTTTTCACTCTTCTGCCCAGCTCATCTCAAACCAGCTCAATGGGGTTTAAGTCTGGAGACTGTGTTGGACACTCCATGTTTTCAAGTTTACCCTCTTGTTCTTTTTTCCTGAGGTAGTTTTGGCAGAGCTTGGACTTGTGTTTTGTAGTATTTTATCTTTTTTTTTTTTTTTTTTTTTTTAAACCTCTGACTGTTCAGTTCTTACCTTTGCACCATTTCAAGTTATTCATTGGACTTGCACGACTTGAATTGCAATAAATAACTGAAAAAATTTGGATGTTCTAAAACTTTTGACCAGTAGTGTATATTCATAATTATCACTATAAGTATCAATTGTAAACGTACTATAAATACTTTCTTCGACACATGCACATTTGAGTACACAGTGGGTTTCTGAAATGGGCAATGACAAAGATTACTAACTTTCCAGCAATGTCTCCTTGATTTGTCCTGAAATTACCAACACCACTACCACTTCAACAACTACAACTGCTACAACTACTACTACTACTACTTTTTTACTATTTGTTATGAATATATTGTGATGTGTGAGCTACTGTGTCCAATTAATTTCCCTTGTGGATCAATAATTTGTCTAAGTCTCAGTATCAGTACTACTACCACTAGTTATAATACCATCTTTACCTTGAGCGAGTATGTGTCTTGTGTATAGTATGCATGCATGTTTTTGGCAACAAGTACACACATTTGTCACAGGGGTTAGGAGTGCTTTGATAGCCACCCAAACATTCAAAAGCAAATTTTCTCCATAACAAGATATAACACAGTCGCCTTTAGCCTGTAAGCAAATCCGTTCCAAAAAAAAGAAAACGTGCAGGAACTCAGTGAAACAGCCATGGCGAGAATCGAGATGTGGAGCCAAATATGTGGGAAGAAACTAGCACAGGTTTTACGGATCTTTTTACAGGCAATCTCACCTCCAGCTCTCCCTATCACTACAGATGGAAATACAGCTTTTTTTCATATTTCTTCCAAGCTAAAACAGAGGTGCTCTAACTCTCTTCTGCTCTTGTTAATACGTTTAAAATACTCACGCAAGAGTATTTTTGGTACTGTTAAAATATGCATAGAAATGTCAAGCATAAAATTTTGTACCATCTGTGGAGTAGTGAGACGAGACATGGCATTTCCCTTATGTAGCCTGGAAATGATATAGTAATTAAAACCATGTTGCTGCCAGTAAAAAAGTTAATCAAACTTCCTCTCTACAGCATTTGTTGGGGCTGTTATACTTTCTTTCGGTGCTGTTTACTTTGCTCTTTTCCACCTTGTGATGTCATGTGGTAATTGGTGATTTTCAGATTGAGAATGTGAAGATGACATACTCCCAGATGAGGTCCAAGAGACAGTTTTCCTTATTGATTACATTTTACTTCAAAAGATGAATTCACAAATGTTGAACCTGATCATTTCTATTATTGTTTAGACCCAAGTACTCACTATATGGCAACAGAAATCTGCATTTTAACTATATTATTTTCAGTTGCCCCAATCTGTATTATATAACATTGATCTATAGAATGCTGTGATTTCATCTGAAACCTGGCAAGAACTGTCAAAGTCCATACAACTTCACTAGAATCATTTGGATGACTGTATG